TATCAGGGTAATTTTTTAACTTTGCACATCCGTGGCAATGAATACTTCCTCTAGCTTGGTACTCAAATCGATACCAGTGCCACTCAGCATCCAAGACGCCATTAAGCCAATGTCTGACAAACTCCTGCAGCCGCTGCATAAAAAACCAATCAGTCAGATGGGGATTGTCGATTACAGCTTGTGCTGGCTCAGATCTGCTTGCACCTTCATCATTCTGCAACAGCCTCTGTAAGTCTGGCCAATGCATGTCAGCTGCACTAAAAGTAAAGAAAAAAGTAGGGCAGCCTCTTTGTTCAATCAGGGCAAGCAATTCCTGCAGCCGCTGATACCAATACTGATTCGTACCTTGTACTTTGGACACATAGCGCTGCAACCTATTTACCATTTGATTTGCACTCATGGAATTGACCATCTGTTTCAGTTCTTCCATTGTCATGTTTGCATCAGCAGGATGTTGACGCAAGTTAACGTTTGCTTGTGACAACAGCTGATGTCGTTGTTTCATGTTTAACGCCCAATAAGGAAACCGAAAGTGAGAAGCAAACCTCCATTCAAACTTACCATCTGCAAGCCTCTCTGCAAACTTCATTAAATGTTTGAAAGCTTCGGTTAACGTTATACCATGTTGTCTTGCCCTATTTGTTGGGTCACCCTTCCCATAAGGAAACAATGTAGGAAAGGCCATAGTAGCTAAACCATCTGTTTTAAATTCATTAATGAGATTACCTTCAGTAGATGGCCAGTCTAACGGATCAACTTCATTTACTGCATCTTGGATAGCCGCACCTTCTTTTCTCTGTCTTTGACGCATAGGAATAAACGAAGAACTGCCACTTCCTAAAACTAACTCTTCCACACTTGCATTAGCACTCATTACTGGGTCTTGGGGAGGCCCCTCATTTTCAACATGAACTGAAAGCTCATTTTCATCAATGACATACCTTAGCTCATCAGGAATACCATTTTCTGGTAAACTTTGGATGACATCTCTATCAATTTCAATATTTTTAAAGAACGGATTGTTAGTCTTTAACCATGGTACAGCCTCAAAAACTTTGTGTCGACGCACAGTAAAGTCTCGATGTGTGTCTTCTGCACCATGTCTTCGCACAATCAAGACAGGCAAGTCTGCCACACGAGAAGGCAACCTATTCAAGAAACTTTGAATATCTTGTGGTAAGTTAAGTACATGTCCTTTATACCCCCTCTGACCCCCATGTTTTCTATACACTCTCATAATGGGACAAACCCTTGAAATTAACATTTCTTCTACCTGTGTCAAACCTCTCAATTGTTCAGGAGCTATTCCTGGGTCCATGTCATTCTCCGCACTGAATTTCTTGGGTGATTTCTTGTCTCTTTTACAACGGTAACAAATGTATACTTCTGATGCTAAGTTCTGTCGTGTCGGCCAAGCTTCTTTACACATTGTACATTGTCGATGCTCTAAATGTTCTTGATCTAAATGAAAACTGTGCATTTCATTTTGTACAAACTGTAGCTCATGCAGAGGGTTGTCAACATTTTGCCAACCACCCTCATGTAAATATTCATTTCTACTCACCCCTGGCCCCTCTGCTTCATGTACAGACTCATTATCCTTGTCTGCTTCAAGAACACATATATCTACAGTTGGATCAACAGACATACTCAACTGCTCATCTGATTTTTGGTCATTTTCATTTGAACTTGCTTTGTGAAAAACTGCTCGTAGTATTTCAAGTATTCTTGCTCGTTCATCAACTGTTTCGGTTGCCTGGTCTTGCTTTCTCTTTTGTAGCCTATTTGTTCGTTCTTCTTCAGTCTCATTTTGCATTTTATCTAAATCATACACTCTCTTATGATCTTTTTGCTTACCTTTAGCTTCTGGAGTCCTTTCTTGCCACGCTTCTCTTCGTTTTGCCAAGCGAGCTTCGCTTTCCTCGCTACTTTCTGCAGCTTCTTTCTGTTCCCTAAAGACTCTCTTATGTTCCCTTTGCTTACCTTTTGCTTCAGCAGTCTTTTTTTCCATGCTTCTCTGCGCTTTCCCAGGCGAGTTTCTCTTTCCTCAACAGTTTTCTCGAGCATACGTTGTCGTCTTCGCTCCCTTCTTTTCGCTAGGCGTTCGGCTTTCTTGTCTTTTTCTTGCTGCGCTTCATGTGGCTCCATATCTTTTTATTGGTATTTGATACCGTGATTGTTTGAATAAAGTTTTAATAAAACTAATTGCTTTTAAAGCTGCCAAATGTTTTTGCAAATGTACAAAAAACTGTAGCGCAAAAAGCAAAATATTTTCATGAAGTATCTGTCAGTTAAAGTCGTCATTCGTCATACAACAACAAATTTTAAATTTGACCAATCGGTGTTCGCTATTCATGACAGTCCGCCATATTTTTGAGATCAGTGAGGATGACCACCTCCTGTATCTATGATGACCACCCACGCCAGTACCCACGCACAGTGACCCAGGCCCGCGATATTTGATGAATTTCAGACTTCCCTAATGCTTTCGTTTCCCCGGGTGTAAATAGCCGAGGGGAATTAGTACCCTCGCACGGCGCTTCGCTCCGCCGGTTTGGGGACAAACGAATATTTGCCGTCCAAGGCCCTGTTTATATGGAGGCGAGTTACTCTGCAATTGGCGAATAGAACTTATCTAGTGATTCGTACGTATGTATTTTTGAACAATATATTATATTTCAAATGCAAAGCACATACATTTATACACATACATTCAATCTCGGGCGGCCGAGTTAACAAATACCCGAACATCCTTTGTTTAATATGGTAAAGATTCATCTCGCCGAAGGCAATATCTCGCCTCTTTCCGCCGGGAACTCTTCATTGGCCAATTTTATACCCTTTACTACATGTAAACAGTCCCCCGGGTTTACTATACTGTATAAGTTTCTATAATATAGCCGGGATCTTGTCGTTGACGCACGGGCAATAGAACAGGTGTAGTGTTGTTAAATAGAAAGTTAGAAATGGTATTGTACTTACTCATGTATTATAATTATGTTTAAAAGATCAGAATATTCATAACTTCTTATTTTGTTTCATATATTCGAAACAAATTCCATATCTGCTTCGTCTGCCATCGCCATGTTTACTCGTCCCAATCTACATGCTGCACGGCATTGCCGCCCCTCCTGGCAAAATAATAAGCAAGCGAGAAAAATTAAGGAGAAAATAAGAGGGTAGGAACATCGTTGTCATAAGCTGGATGCAGTGACACTTTCATATATGGCACAAACGTATCCATAACTTCCATATATGGCACAAACGTATCCTCGACGCGTTTTATAACGTTTTATTTGACGTAGGGATGACGTAATGCTGCTTCCCGCCTATGACAATTTGAATTAGTCATGTGATACAAGATTGCGAAAGCCGATTCGCCCAGAACGATGACACGCCCACGAAACGCCCACAGTGTTCCTACCCTCTTATTTTCTTCTTCATTTTTCTCGCTTGCTTATTATTTTGCCAGGAGGGGCGGCAATGCCGTGCAGCATGTAGATTGGGACGAGTAAACATGGCGATGGCAGACGAAGCAGAAGTGGAATTTGTTTCGAATATTAAAGAACTATGTATGAAACAAAATAAGAAGTTATGAATATTCTGATCTTTTAAACATAATTATAATGCATGAGTAAGTATAATACCATTTCTAACTTTCTATTTAACAACACTACACCTGTCCTATTGCCCGTGGTTGACGAGTATAAACTCGACTTGCCGGGTAATTCGCCTCGATATAAATAGGCCTATAAAGACTCCCATCTTGTCTTGACATGCTTGATTACTAGGCAGACACGCACACGGAATTCCCTCTTGGCAATATAGCAAACATATCACGGCGATGCATTATAAACTGAAACACAGAAACAAGGCATCATCTTGATGTTTATTGAGTTTCGTAACACCGCCCAGTAAAAAAATTCAAAATCGAATCAACCGCGACCGAGTTGTTGAAATCCTCTCGCAAGATTCGCAAAACTAGAGGCATATATATTTACGCCTGACTATGTTATAAATATAATATTATTATATTAAACAACAGCGTATGCCTGTACGGATTCTGAACGATAATATCTTGAAGGACATAAGGTTCAAACAGCCAATGAAAGTCATTCTTTTAACAAGTCCCTGCCGTTAACCAATTAACACTGTGATCCAGATTCTGGATCACTTCACACTATTAAGCATCGTGATTGGTGCGGTTCGATCTGAGAAACCATAGAAGTGTTCCAGAGGTTCGATCTTTCCGCTCGCCGCCTCCCAGCTTGAATCCTCGTGTATCCCTCATTATCCTCCCTACGAGCGTGGAAGAACCTCCGGCATCCAGGGTAGTAACAATATTTTATAAGTGAAATTTATTGTTTGGCTGATGTTTTAGATTTGAGATTCGTGATTTTGGCTGGATTCTATTTCTGTCAATGATTTTGTCTGCATCATCATTAAATTTGAGGTAATATCGGTCCTTCCAATCTGTACAGACCTTCTACATCTGCAAGATCTCCGATGCTAAGATTGCTTCCATCAAGTGACCTTTCCTTGTTCACTTCCATGGTAAAGTTATTGAATATTGGTATGGCTTCTGGATTTTCAAAACCAGCGACAATGAGAACTACCACTCTTTCACCTGTTTCATATTTTGTTACTAATCAAATTCGCTGACTGTCTCGATTAGCCTTTTGGTTATTACAGTTAGCCAGTACCTTCTTTTTGTAACTTTATCTGTATTTTATATTTTTGTATGTATTACTACCGGTACTGAATAAAAAATTGTATTGTATTGTATTGCATCTCAAAAATGGCTGGTAAAAGTTAACCCTTATTTAGATGTTAAATTTGGCCCTCAAAATTTTCTCCCACTTGTTGCCAAGGCTATGTCTGTAATTCCTGCTGGTCAACAAAAAGAAAATCTGATTTATCACACTGCTCGATGCTTTGGAGAACAATGTCATGGAGATGTTAGTCCTAGAATGCCATTGGATAGAATGCCCTTTATTTCCGTTATTTTCTTCATAGCGGCGAAGGCCCACTTGGTCTATATTTACAGTATTTTGTAATGCTGTTACACAACTAATTCAGATAAAGTTTGAGAAATGGTGGTTCTTTCAATGTTAAGCACCAGAGAGGGGAGGTTTGGCATATGTGGAGCATTTGATTTTTTGTGCAAATTTTCAATCAAATGCACCACGGTCGGGCAATAAAAATTGGTCAAATACACCACCATTTTGCAATAAATACTATATTAATAAAAGTCATTTTGGTTCAAATTGCCCTAACTCTGGCCCAAAATGCTTATCAAAATCCCTAGGGTGTGGATGCAGTTGGTGATCAAATACCCCACATATGCCCAACCCCCTCCCCCTCTGTGACTTAACATTTATAGGTGCTATTATATGCAGGGTTTTTTATTTTCATGTAATGTACCACAAAGTATCAGCAGCATGTTATTGTGGGACCTTTGATCAATATGTATATAAATAGACATATTTTTGTTTTATTGTTGCATTACTTTTAATGAAAAATTACTCACAAAGTTGGTCAAGTGAATGTATAAACTATTTATTTATTCATTTAGTACAGTACTTGTTACAATTATGTACAGTACTTGTTACAATTATTTACGAGTGTACATGACAGACATTGTTTTAATTGCACCCACTTATGATCAGTGCCGTAGCCAGAACGATAATTGGGGGGGGAAGGCACATATTCATATATTCGTGTTCACATACCATAAAAACAATTGATTTCAAAAGAAACTAATAAAGCAGAACACGAATATATGAATATGTGCCCCCCCAATTTTCGTTCTGGCTACGGCACTGCTTACGATTAACCTAGTTTTTGTTTAAAAATGCTGAAAAAATATCTAAAAAGTCATCCAATTGAAATAACATCATTTCTTATAACTTGTTAATTAAACCTAGTCAGTTACTATTATATCACAAACATCTGTCAACGTACACTCATGCTCTTCCTTACCACTTGAGTCTCCCACTCACCACGTCGTTTTATGAAATTTTTTTTATAAAATCCGATTTTAAAAAAGTCAACCCTATACTTGATATGCTGAACTATGGACCTCCAAGATATCTCTTGCGGCAATTAGTGGGTGCAAATACTTGCATAGTTCAGAAGCAATATAAACAACATCACATGTGTCCATCCAGTTTCATAGTCTAACTCAATTGCAATTGCACTTGGGTCCATTGGATTCAATGGCTCTGGCCGCATTCTTACATTCACTGGTTTATATTGTCCATGAAGAGCAAGGTATGCCTGTTCCAAATGATGTTGGTTAAATTTTTCTGATGCGCCGCACCAATACACTTGAATGGTACAGAATAGATGATTTTATCTCATCACTTAACTGGTCACCACTTTCTGCCCTATCACCTTCATTAGCATATCCGTCCTGACCAGGTTCAAGACCAGCCAAGCACTCAAGTAGATCTGTTTCTACAAAATCATAACAAAAGAATTCTTATTTTATTATTTTATACATGCACTGTAATCTCTAAAATTAGCAATCTAATGCAAAAGTGTGTCACTATTTACAGTAATATTTATAGAACAACACACAAATATGGCGATATTTTACAGATGAAAATTGAAAAATATCTAACTATTGTATGCACATATAAGTAAAAATCTATCCACAACTAGATACAAATAGGCATCATACTTCAGCAAAAATTTATTAAACAATTTGTTTAACTCAAAGCATGCACATATGTATCACAATGACACAGTACATAGACATACACAATAGGGTCAAACTAGAGGTATTAAACACAAATATTACGCCATAATATTGTACAGTGTATTTATAAAAATATTACAGTACAAGGTTAAAAACAACAAAGCGGATAATAATTTCACTAAATAACAAGATAACTGTAATGTCTGTAATGCATTGTAGTATACCAACCTGAAATATTGCGCTTGTTTTCATGTTGATGATACACGGAGATTTAACGTCTTCCAAGTTAGAAAGAAGAGCCTCGCTATTGGGAATATAAACACAATTCCATCGCTCAGACGGATTATTTATAAAGCTAAAATGACAGCATGTCCCATGCAATTTAAAAAAGGTAAACTTGGTATAGTAAAACACAAATCATAATGATGATCACAACAATACAGCAATAAGATGGTTTTCTTTTCACAAAGTATCGCAGCCTGACACTCTTGTCGTTCGAAAGCTTCCATATTGGTTTAGTCAGAGAGATGTTCACTCCTCGACAGTCAACAGTCAATGAAGTCACGCACGGAATTAGGCGCTCAATACCCATGATGCCTTGCGGCCTGCTGTCCAACCTCCTCTGACCCTCTTCTGAGACCAGATCGAATTACTACAACACGTGATATATTCTAAGAATGCTAATTGGTTGAATATCTGGAACTTCCACTTGTCGCAAATTATATTCAGCAGAATTCAGCAGCAGAACATTCCACAAGTTCCAATTACAGATTTAGGCAGCAAATAAAAAACATAGAGATGACTCGCTGAAAATTTCTGGCTACATTCGATCGCCGCATGCGATTGTAGCCGATATACGGTAATACATCAATGGCCTCAATCTGACTTGGCAACATTCGAGTAACCAAAAACGTAAAATTAAAAAAAACCCCGACTTTTTATCTCGAACTTCGTGCTTTTCGCATCTGACTGTATTCAATACTTTACTAGAGTATCGCCTCCAGCAGAAAAAACTCTTGAATTCTCAGGCGCATTAATTATATATTGTAATAATTTACTCTAGATCCAGAACAATTTTACTCTTTCTTCGGAGTTAAAACGACCCCTGTAGTAAAATTTAGGAGTACAAATTACTGCATAATTTCTATTTCAAAAGCGAGTTTAGTTTACCCCTCCAGTGGTGTTAAATTGACTCCTGATGGAGTAAATTGTGGAATGCGCGCCGAAGTGGAGTAGTTTTATCTCTCTTTTGGGAGTAGATTTTACTCCACAATTTTTACTCTCCCGAGCTGAGTAGTTTTAACTCCTATTAAAATAACTTCTTGAAATGAACAGTGTATCAATACTCAATAGTTACGAAACTGAGTTCATTCATCACTAGCTCACTTGGTTTCGGCATGCCGGCGAAGAAGCCCCAGACGTACATCTGTGATTCAATCCTGACGCTTAATTTAAACCCAAACCTCTGATTTAACAAGCATCTAAAGTTCTACTCACCACCTAGAAACGATACAAACGGATTCGGCGTTCGAAGGGCCTTTGCTCGAAACGTCGAATCTGTTTCTATCGTTTAGGTAGTGAGTAAAACTTTTTTACCGCTACCTAATCTGGCCACATATTGAATTTTGTTATCTCCTAGGCTAGGCCTTTATTTACACTAATACCCCAATACCCAAATGGCGCGATATTTTGACATTAAGCGACTGGACACTAATTTGAGCACATGTTTATCTCTAATGAGCGAAATTAAGGTTGATATAATTGGCACAACGGCAAGTTTCGAAGCTAGATCATTTAGGCTGTCATTGTATCATTGATTCATGACCAAGCAGGATGCATGACCAAAGCCACGTTGGCGGTTCCCATTACCAATACTACATACAAAGGCAGTTCAACCATATTGCCCCCATTTAGTTATTTAATTGTATCTATTAGTTACTAATTCCAAATGTAAAGATACAGTGACACGCGAAGCTCTTAAATCACCCTATGTTCAAATATCATAAAAAAACAAAAACAAAAAATATGTTGAATATATGTTGCAAAATGAGAAATATTACAGAACTATGAGAAATATACAGAACAAAAACAAACCAGAAAAACTATTCCAGGATATGCTCCCATGGAGCTGCTTAAGAATATCATCAATATTCCTAGTCGTATTGAAAAAAAGGAATATTTGTGATATTTCTGACATATTCCGACCCCTGAATAGACACTTCCCGAATTTGCTTGAGTGCACACGAAACAATAGCTTGGAATCGAGGCGGACAATGTAATCCATTGGAAAACTATACTTATTTCCAATGGATTACATTGTCCGCCTCGATTCCAAGCTATTGTTTCGTGTGCACTCAAGCAAATTCGGGAAGTGTCTATATGGACCAAATTCTGGTCCGTATAGCCGATAGGTAATACCACGGATTACTTACGATATTCCGTACCATATTCCGACACGCAAGAAGAGTCGGAATATGTATTTTATTCCCACCCATATAGAGACGGGAATACGTCGGAATATCCGACTTTTTTCACAGTGTACACAGCGATCGAGTACCTTGGAAATTGTATTTAGGAGCGAGATGGGTCTATAATTGTTGTCGAGAGTTTTGGGTCATCGGTTTTTGAAATCGACGAAAGATTTGCTAACTTCCATTCTGAAGGGACAACCCCCTGGGATAGCGACAAGTTAAATAGCTTGCATAGGGATTGTGCAATTTCGGTCCACACGTTCTGAAGAAGTCTGTTCGGTATTCCACCCGGGCCACAAGCCTTATTAGGATCCAAGGTCTTAAGCACATTGTTGACTTCGCTTTCCGTCAATTCAATGTTCGACAGACGATCAGCGTATCTAACGGTCCTTTGTGTAACAACGTCTGATAATTGAGATTGCAGTGGCTGATGTTGGTCAGGTGTAGCGAATATGGAGTGGAAGTATTTGTTTAATATTTCTGCTTTAGCTATATTGCCTGTTACAAACAGTTGACCATCTCTAAGAAATTTTGGTATAGGTTTTGTTATTGTAGATGATTTAAGGAGAGTCCAAAACCTTTTTGGGTTTTCCACAAGAGAATCCCGAATTTTATAAGCGTGATCATTGCGTTTTTTGGCGATCATTCGTTTTGTTTTACGCCTTAGGGTTTTGAATTTTTCAATTTCAATAGGTAATTTAGT